CTTTTACCTGGCCCTTCGGCGATTCGTGGTAATCTTATCAGCGACCAAAATGGACAATCGGAGCCGCTCTGCTTGCGCAATTTGTCCATGTTGCAACGAAAGGGGCTCCCAAGAACAACCCTCGCGAAGCTGGGTCCTCTAGCCCTAAAAATTTGCATTCAATCTGAACAGAAAGAAGAGATAATCAAGGAAACAAATCTCAGACAGCTGCGCATGCCTAGAACAGAGATAGACAGATCGAAATCAAAGACAGAGTGAGAGTGCGAGAGAGATCTCACCTCCGAAATGCTACCGGTTTCAAACAGCTGTGTTAGAACTCAGAGAGTATGTCGCGAGGGAGCGGCAGCAAGAGCGAGAGAGTGATAAGAAACCGAAACAGAAACAAAAAGAAATCCACCACCAACTACTGCAACAACAGCACGAAACAGCAGCGGGAGCGGCGGGGCGACAAAGCGAACAATGCGCTGCATTATGCGAAACGTATGTACATACGTATGCGTTATGATTAAACAAACAACAAGAGCTAGCAGGGGTGAGAGAGAGTGAGAGAGCAGCAGCTGCTGATAGTGTGAGTGCACCCCAAAGTGTATTTACAGAAGGTGAGGTCCCATTATTTGGACTCGTATGAACGCTCTATGGAGTGATCGATCGCTTTTTGGGAATATCATGCCATACTTTGAATTAAAACAATTTAAACGCCAGGTATACTTGCTGTACATGTTCTAATAATTAGGCAGATAGTATTATTGCAATAGCTTGGGAATACCGGCAATCTATGTAGGGATGAAACGGACTGGACTGTCTTACCTTTTCGAAATATACCCTGCACCCAGGTAATGTCGACTGCGAGTGCGCGAAGCCGCCCGTATTCGAATTCGAGACGCCGCATTCGACTCTGAACACTCAAACAACGCAGATCGTCTGGGAGATCGTCGCGAGTTGTCCGTTTCTTCTCTTTTTCGTTCGCGTTTTCGTGTTTAAGTTATTTGTTTACCGTTTGTGCAGTGTATAACTATTTAAGCTTCTTGTGGGTGACGGTGACAGCGAAAACCCCCACCTGACATACTCCCCCTGCCCTTATCGACGCGAGTGTTTGGTGACCAAAACTAATCAAATGACACGTGCTTGAAATAAAAAATTTACTATCTATCCCGCATACGGACGACAACAACGGTGCAGGAGCTAACGGGGGATTACCGACATTGTTTATCGAATATCAAAATATAACAAGAAATCGGTAAGTCGTACCGCCATTAAACCGAATAAGGAATGTGCGGAAACAGAGAAAAACACATGCATAAAAATGTACAACTGTTTATGGCCATCCCCACAGTGACCCCAATCGGCCCTTATCAATAAACTCATATGTACATATATTAAATACAATTTCGCATACGCCCCTTGTAATTAAATACATCAACGCCCCATCATAACCTTAATAACTACAGTGAAAGCTCTCTGGGGTGGCCTTGAGGATTGGTTTGTTAAATGTGATTACAACTTAAGTGCGACTCCTGTACGCTGTGCACTGCTGTGAGATTTCAGAGGAGTTCTTTCGGATCAGAGCTGGACTTAGTTTATGACTCAGGAGCGTCCAAGCGTCGCCAACAAGCCGCCACATTATATCTTGGCGTTGTTTTTGTTGTGTCGCGGAATGTTCTTCATAACGTAGATCCCCAGATGAGTCATGAATGAGCTTTGTGGGGTGTGGGATACCTGTAGTGGATACAGTTTCTGGATATAGTCATTGGTGGGGGGAGGGGGTGTAGAAGGTGACTGATCTCCGGTCGTGTATGGGGGGCGGCTGTGAAGTGAGTAAGCAAAGGCTTTAGATAAGTTTAATTGGGTTATGTAAGGGAACGGTATCGGATATGTGTGGATATCGGTGGGTTTGAAAGATATGGGGCAGCTGTAAGACAGACTCACAGCAAAAACATTTCCCAGGCAACATCAGAGCAGGAGTGACCCATTTATTAGGTATATTAATTACGAATCAATCTATCTACTCGAATCCAATCTCCCAACTTTAGATTAAATCTAATTCAGTTTACTGACCAGGCGGGCATTCGATTTGCGACCGTTTCGCGGTTTCAATTGAGCGGCCGCCGATGGCTCCATTAGAGTGTTAAATACTGGACATTAGAGTGGCCCCAGGGCACGCATTGCTCCAATTAGCAGGCACAAGCACAGACCGAGGTGTTATTAAGGCCTGACTACACGCCCCTCTCGCAGAGAGGTTCCAGCTATAAACCAGTCTAAAGTCAGTCACCTGTTGACGACCATCCACTTCATCCACTCTCCACTCAGATCGATATCAATGACAATTGGTGTCGTCGACAGCATTTGTGCTTTTGCTACCGTTAGATGGGGAAATGCCAAAGCAATGATGATTGTCTAATTGAATGGGATTAATGTTTAATTTGGCTTACTTTATTGATTTTCCATTGAAAAGCAATGAAATGAAATGAAATGTCAGGCCGAAATGCCGCCACTACCGCCGTAAGCGGGGGGCGAACTTTCAGGTGGACTGTGGAGAGGCGGCAGGGAAGAGGGGTGAGTGTTGTGTTGTGTTGTGGTGGGCTTGGATTGAGTGATATTGTTGCAATTGCAATCCGAGCTTTGTTCTCGCCTCTCGATTGTGCAACAAAGGCAGAGTTCTATTTAACAGGCATTTGTCAATTGTTTTATGGTTAGTGTAGCCCCTATAATTATCCATTTTTTTGCTGATTCTTTTGTGCACATTTGTGACTCATCCCCACCCCACGGCTACTGCTATTTTTACATAATTAAACGAATGTTTAAAATCTGATTTATTATTTAATTGTCTGCCACTCGAACGACACCAATTAATTATGCAATAACAATAACAATAACAAAAACAAAACAAAAATGCACGAATAAATAAATAATAATTTTACTATAATCAATGCAACAGCTGCCACCGCGAAGGGGTTGATCTGCGGGCATTGGGGGGGTGGTACAGCAATTAAAATTTATTACGCCTATTTTGCATTTATTCCATTTTAATTTGTCATTTAAATGTCAAAACTATTAAAATGATTATGGGCCAATGGCGGATTAATCAATGAACACTTTGGCTTCGGTTTTCCATTCAATTTCGATCTGGTTTGGCTTTAAATTTCGGTTAATTAAGCGCGTGGCCATAAATAAGGACAGGTCTTCTTCCCCATCATTCCCAACAAGTGCCTCTTCAGACAAGTGTGCAATTCAATCATCCTCCCCCTCATATACTCGTATGCATATGCATATAAACGTAATTATTCTTATTAACAATTGCAGTTTACTTTATCCGTTCGCTGAATGCAGTTTTTACGATACAATTTCGAATATATTTCAACGAGGGGTCTATTGAAAGGGATTACAACATTTTCAACGAGGCAGAGCTTAAGTTTATTATTCCATTCGATTTTCTCTCCACTCTGCTTTCCTCTTGTACACTCTTTGGTCAGCTAATACTACTTTTATCAGACTTTCGTTTGACCATAATTATTCGTAATACGGCATCCAGAAAAACTATCAATCTGGTTAGGGTATCCAACGTTTCGGCCTCTTGATGGACATTCTTTGTTGATTTCTGAGTTATTCCTCTTTTCGTATCGAAGAATTAACTTCGCTTTTTTGTGGGGGGACATTTGAATAGATATCACATGTGGGGAAAAGTTCCGTTAATTGTGATTGTCTGCTGTCTCTGCTGTTGTTGTCTCTGTCATTGTGCTGTTCTGTGCATTGCATAGATTATGTGCCATCCCTCTCTCTCTCTGGCCCCGTGTCTCCTTAAAATATTAATTGGCGAATAAAATTAAAATTCGCCTAGCCTAAAACTTGTTCGCTAACATCTTCATCTGGTATGTATTTGCATATGAATTCTGTTTGTCTCTTTGTTCTTAATTAATGAAAAGCAATCACATTGATGGATTTTTGGGCACGGAATTTAAAATGAAATAATCTGCACCTTCGATCTGTTAAGCTCTCAATGTACATCAATTTTTACACTATTAAACACACGTCCAATTAAAATCAATTTGGGAGTCGTGTTGTAATGAGCGTTTTCCCTGGAACCGGATGGCCGGCTAAACAATTTTAATGCCATTGGCTCCTCGCCTTGGCCTCTAATGAGCGTCGTCTATTTGAATTACTCATGGCTGGTGGCCATAAATATCGATTAAGGGGCGGTTTTTAATCAGGGACGGGGCGTGCTAATGAGGCGTCCAGCGTCCCATCCAGAAATCCAAAAAGCGAACAGAACTCGGCATGGAGCAGTCGGAGGGTCAGTTCCTTAGCGGGCTTCAGTTTTGTGGTGGCTCTAATCTAATTGGATTATTCCGCCGCTGGCTAGGAGGTGGCTCTAATTAGATTTTCGCGTTTCGTTTGGTCGTAGAGCAATAATTTTTCAAAATTAAATTACCTTTGTCCCAGTGTCTTTTTACAGTACATTCGACATGTTCTGATGTGTAATGCTAGAGGGCGCTGTCTGCTCTACTGCTACTTATCTAGCTGCACTGCTCTGACACCCGCTGTTGACTCACAATGCGCGAACGACTAGTTCTAGTTCCACTTTCTTGCAGAAAATTGATTCATTAATGGGATCAAATTTTATGTTTAGTGCTGTTAGCTGATAACACTAGACTTAATATTAAAAATGAGTAATCTGATTTTCATCGGTATATTTACGGTATATTTTAAAAATTAGACGGTATATTTCTGATGGTCAGACAGCGCGGTCACACTGTTCCTCACTGCGCGAAAGACTTAGAGAGATTAACCCATTGTCGGCCAATCGGATTTTTTGAGTCATTTTAACGCAGTTCAGGTGAAAGATATCGTGGTTTTTGTTTAAGTTCAGAGGAAAGATGGCATATACCTACAAGAAGAATTTACAATCGCTAAGTTTTTCCGCCATTTACCTCGAGTAACTACTTCCACTGAACTGTTTAAATAGAGGGGGCTTAGGAGGGCTAAGTTCGTTATCGTGATCGATCCAGTGAAATTTGTGAAGATTTGTTTTTGATTGATTTTCGTTGTGTTTGGCCATTTTTGTGGTTTTTTCGGCGATTGTGGAAGTGTCCGTTCGTGTGTGTTTGAGGTGCGGCTGTGTGTATGTGTGGAAAACGCCAAAATGCGCTGGCCGCTGCGGCTCTGAACAGGAATTTGTCGATTGCCGCACGTGACGTCATCAGAAGTCTCATCTCCACACACATACGCACAGGGAACTCGTTGAGTTTGCTGTAAAAATAATGAAAGCAGTCTGTGAACGTCGGCTGGAAAAGGGAACATCAACAAGAAAGACAACTACAAGAGGGACAGGAAGAACCACCACCCCAACAACAAAACACACAAGAGAAGGAGGAGAACAGAACGCGCCTTGATCATCAGCAGATACACAAAGAGAGCGAGCGGAAGGAAAAGAGAGAGCGAGAGAGAGAAACATTGCCTAAAATTGAATTTACTGCTGGATTTCGTCTGACCTTTTGCCAACACACCCCCTTCCCCTTCCTCGGGCAGTTGCTGTGTAAGTACGATAATTAATTTATGAAAAAGCAAGAAATGGAAACAGCAAAGCGCTTTAATTGCAAGCTCATAAACAAAAGAAACTATGACCCAAGGCGAAACAGCAAAAACATCAGAGAAAAAGCAACAGAAACAACAACAAAAATCTAACAGATCTTTCAAGGCTCTGTTAAGGTTAACAGATCAGTCTCAGTTACAGTCGGGTTTACAGCCACTGTTTTTCGCTACTTTTCGATTATTAATTCAACAATCAGCGGTGGTATTAATAATTTTACGGCTTATCTGGCTTTGGCATAAGATATACATACATACATACATATATATATACGCGTACGCCTACACATGCAGATACAGATATAGCTAAGGATATAGATATGTATTTTTAATTCATTCACTAAATAAATGTAGAGGGGAAACTTTCCGTTGTTATTGAACAAAAAAAGATGAAAAGCAAAGAAATATATAGGAGGTGCTGTTGTATCCGTGTTGGCGACAATTTACCAAAAATAAACGCACACGAGCCACCCCCCCTGAAACACGCGACCCTGCCTAGCCATATTATGGTTTCATTTTCCACTTTTCCGAAAAAAACTGAAAATATAATGACTTTTCTATAATAAACAAAATTCGGATTTATTTTTGCCTTAATTGTTTGTGTTTTTAGAAAACGTTTGCCATTGATTTGTTTATTCGACCGAGTGTGTGTGCATGCCATGCCTGTACGTGTTAGTACGTGTCTGCCGGGTGGTGTGTCCGGAATTCCCATGTGCAAACAGTCTAAATTATGAGTTGCATATCGGTTTTATTGTTTTGGCAATGGCCGCAAAAATTAAGACCCCGTGATGGGAATGCATTTCCAGTATTGCACAGTTTTGGAGCGACTCTATACAGTTTTAGCAGCCTTGTGTGCTAATTGCTTTTAATTAAAGATAAAAGAAAATGTTTGCCTTGATGTTTCTGTTGCTTTTGTTGCTCATTGCGAAAACAAAAGATAAGCTAAAAATTCTTGAACGTCTGGAAGTGCCTGCACTTCCTCGAACGAGTGGGAGTGGGAGTGCGAGTGGGAGTAGGAGGGAGAGCAGGCTGCACAGAACTATACAAAACAACGTTCAATGTGGGCGAACGTGACTATTGTTGGCTTGGCTTAATCACTCACTTTCATTCACTCACTCCCAGTCATGCATACACTCAATCATACAGAAAGATACAGAGAGAGCTGCGATTGAATGCGCTGTTGCTTTTTGTACAGTTTGAGAAGCACTGCAACATCCGTTTTTCTTTTTCTTCTTTTCTTCCCTCGCTTCTCTCCCCCAAACCTTCCAATCGCAATGCAGAAAGAGAGAGACTATAAAGAGAGACAGAGCGATGGATACCCGTGTGGAGCTCGAACTCCGGCCGATAGGCGACGAGAATCTGAAACCGGAACTGCAACTGCAACCTGAGGAGTCACAATCGGATCCCAAGATGGAAACCGAATACGAAGCAGAAGCGGAGCTGGAATTGGAAGAGGGAGAGGCAGAGCAGAAGCATTTGCTGACCCCCAATCATGCCTTGGCGACCAGCAGTTTGGGAAACTCCATCCATGACCTGCAGGCCAGCCCAAGGACTCCGACGCCGACATCGACACCGCCGCCACCGCTGTTAAATGTGCTGCCCGGCACCTCCAGACAGCTGTTCCGGGATGCGGCTTTGGCCCACGGAGGCCTGGAGTCGACGTCCCTGCTGCAGCAGGAGCTGCAGAGCATCGCGGGAAACCAGACGCCGGCGAACAAGCTGCGGAGCGCCAGTTCCACGCTGGACGCAAGCGTGTCGCGTAATCCGTCGACCACGGGCGGGAAGCAGGACAAGAAGAAGATCGGCCACCGGCGCGTGGCCGAGGGCGGGGAGGTGACCTACAAGAAGATCCAGTCGAAGCAGATCATGGGCTCCATCCAGCTGGGAATCCAGCACACGGTGGGCAGCTTGGCCAGCAAGCCGAAGCGGGATCTGCTGATGAACGACTTCTGGGAGATGGAGACCATTTCGTTCCCGCCCGACGGCTCCTCGATCACGCCGGCGCACCACTATAGCGACTTCCGGTTCAAGGTGTACGCCCCGATAGCCTTCCGCTACTTCCGGGACCTTTTCGGGATCGCGCCCGACGACTTCCTCATGTCGATGTGCGCCTCGCCGCTCGTCGAGCTGTCCAACCCGGGAGCCTCCGGGTCCATATTCTACCTCACGGACGACGACGAGTTCATCATCAAGACTGTGCAGAAGAAAGAGTGCGAGTTCCTGCAAAAGCTTCTGCCCGGCTACTACATGAATCTCTCCCAGAATCCGCGCACGCTGCTGCCCAAGTTCTTTGGGCTCTACTGCTTCCACTACAACTCGAAGAACGTGCGCCTGGTGGCCATGAACAACCTGCTGCCGTCGGACATCAAGATGCACTGCAAGTACGACCTGAAGGGCTCCTCGTTCCGGCGCAAAGCCTCCAAGGCGGAGCGCCAGAAGGCCAGTCCCACGTTCAAGGACCTTGACTTTGCCGAGCACCACCCGAACGGCATCTTCCTCGAGACGGATAAGTACAATGCTCTGATGCGCACCATCCAGCGCGACTGCATGGTCCTGGAGAGCTTCCAGATCATGGACTACTCGCTCCTGGTGGGCATCCACAACCTGGATATCGCAGCCAAGGAGAAGCGGGAGGAGCGCATTCGGAATGCACGTGCCAAGCTGCAGCGAAAGGAGAGCGCCGCCCAGACCGCCTCTTCTAACGTCCACCTGGACGACGACGCCCCCGAGGCGGACCAGAACCAGCTGCATGCAGTGGCCTCGTACGCCTCCATTCCGGGCACCTCGGGGGCGGCCCTCAATCGGACGCGCAGCATGAACCGCCAGCGCCTGGTGGCCCATTCCACGGCCATGGAGTCGATCACGGCCGACATGGACGTGACATTGGAGGAGGACGAGGACGTGCCGGCCGGCGGCATTCCCGCCCGATCCGAGAACGACGAGCGGCTCATCCTGTACATCGGCATCATCGACATTCTGCAGTCGTACCGCCTGGAGAAGAAGCTGGAGCACACCTTCAAGAGCATCCTCTACAACGGGGACACGGTGTCCGTGTGCCGGCCCTCCTTCTACGCCAAGCGCTTCCAGGACGCCATGGCCAAGCAGGTGTTCAAGAAGACGCCCACGTTTCCACTGAAACATTCCCCCTCCAAGCGCAAGACCTCGGCCAGCCAGCTCCTGCGCACCCCCCAGACGCGCACGCCGGCGCAAAGCACGCCCGCCGGTGGATCGGGACGGCCTGGTGTCCTCACCATGATGTCGGGCATGTCCACGCCCCCGCCAGCCTTTGACGACATCTCCGAGGAGGACATCACGGCCGCCTCCAGCACAACGCTCCAGAATCGCAGCCAGACGAACAACAACCACGGGGAGGAGCACCAGCCGGAGTTGGGACGCGTCTCTGGCGGCAGTGGCGGTGGCGGTGGTGGAGAGCCGAGCAGCACCTACCACACCCAGTACTCGTACGACAGCTCCGGGCGCACCGGCAGCGCCATGACCAGCGACTATAGCGACGACGAGTCCACGGTCTCCAGGTCGCGCTCGCCGTTGCAGCAGCAGCGAACTAGTCACCGCCTCACCAAGACCAGTGTCCAGGTTACGACGGTGGGCTATGTGGAGGAGCGGCAGCTCTCCAACGCCGGCGGACAGGTAGTGCATGCGGACACCAATGGGAAGGTCGGCACGATGACCACCAGCACCACCACCAAGACGGCCCTCATCCAGGCGCCCAGCTACACGTCTACGCTGGTGCTCAACGATTTGCCGCACTAGAATCGGGAGGGCTTCTATAGGGCGAACAGGGAACGGGATCCAGGCTACCGCTGCTTGTGTGTGTGTGTGTGTGTATCTGTGTGTGCAACCGATGTGCTCGCGTGCCTTCCACTCTTTTGACTTTGTTGCAAAAATTGTGTGTTTCGGCGCTCGTTTATCTTGATTAAACGAAAACGAATACGTATATTCGATATTAAAATTTATGTGGCGCCCTTCCTAATTGGCTGCCTCCGCACCCCCTCTCCTCCTGTAACGCCACCACCAAAATCCACACCCACACGCCCACACACAGACAGACAGATGGAGGGGAAGAGGCAACAACAAATGTTCACCGTTTTTGCCCATTAAAATGTATAATTATTGTATTTTCTTTCATTCTACTTTTCTGCGACAATTTTGTAATTCGTTTTTCCATTCTATCTTTTCAATGACTTTTTGTTGTTGTTGTGCGTGGGGTTTAATTTTAAAGAATGGAAATTATTGGAAGGGGTCGAAGGAAACGGAGGAAATGGAACAGGAAAGTGTAGCCAAAACTCAGTTGTTGTCTATGTTTGCGTACGTCTGTTTGTGTTTCTGTATTATAAAGTGCGTTTACGTATTCTAAGAGATGCTCATGTGTATATACATAATTAACGAGAATAAATCTATATATTTTACATAACTGAATGTGCAACGTGTGTCCGGGCCGGGCCGTCTCGTCGGAATAGAGACAGCTCTGAAAGCGCCGACAGAGTCCGACTACGGCCCCGGACATAAATCACTTAATGGTTTTCAATATTGGTATTAAGTATCGTTAATTTTTATCGCCTTGCAGCATTGTTACGCCTCTTTTGGCCAGCGGCAATTGTGGAGTATTTATTGGCCGCGAGCAGAGGGGATTTATCCCAGACAGGATCTGACCATGGTATGGGGCTGAAAGAGCTCTTCATTAATTAGCCCATGGTCCAGGGACGCGGCTTTTAGTTCATGTACCCCGCAATGTGCGGAAAAGCAGGGATATGCATCAGTTTTTTCTCTTCACAAAACGAGTGTACCATCAGTTTTATGCGTTAATTATGAAAAATGTCATAAATAAAAGATTTCGGAGAAGAGAGGATCTTCTGTCAGAGAAAATATAGTAAATGGTATCTGATAGTCTATAGACTCCGTCTAGCTTCTCATTATCCAAATTGCTGGAATACAAATGACTGAAAAAATTGGTTAGAAATTTTTTAAATTTCATTTAAAACCAACCAAAACGAAACGAATTGGCCGGCAAATATTTGCCTGCTATTTTTTTTTTTTTTCATTTTGTGTACTAATTGAATATAATTTTAATTAATTGTTTAATGAATTCAGTAACCACACCCTGGGGACGGGGGACGAGGTCGGGGGAGTGTAAAAAGTAAAGAGCTTAAAAAATGTATCGTTCTGTTGTTTGAAACAAGCACTTTGTCAATATTTGCTCGATTCCATCAGATGAGGAAAAATAGAGAGAGAGAGAGTGAGAAAGGGGTGGCAGTGGGAGAGGGCATGGGGCATGCGGCATGCAAAATCAACTTGCCCACTCATGCATAACGCAAATAGTTGAATACTCCACGGAGGAGGAGCTTCGGACGACCCCGCCGCACTGTGTAATAATGGCCATAAACAAACTTTAATAAATATGTAAGCTGCAAAGTGCAAAAACCACGGCAGCACAAAACAGCATAAACAAATGAATCCCGAACTCGAAATTCGACGCTACTCTGCTTTCTGCGTTGTCACACGAAAATTGTTTTCCAGGATAATTAGTTTATTTCATTTGCATAATAGAGAGAGAGAGAGAGAGAGAGAGGGCAGTCGCTTTCCGACAAACAGAATATTTGTGTGTACAGTACTGCCCAAAAATCATTTTCATTTACATATACCGTTACAACTGTTACCCAGAGACCAGCCGCCGCCAGGTGTCGCTTTACAGATTTTAGGAGAAGGGAGGTGCTCTGCGAAATCTACATAAATGCCCACAATTTGGGGCATTCACATCAATTATTTGGAAATTATTGCACAATAATATATACAGATGGGTGGCGGGGGGGGGGGACAGAGTCCTGGAGGACCGTCCTGGGCCATATGCCAAATGTCATTTTGATGGCCAAAATGTGGACTCAACTTTTGGCTTGGCTCTCGCCTTAAACATTGCTTAAATATACATACATTTAAATTGGAATGGCAGCAGGGTTGCTCGGGTCGCAGAGCATTCCATTGATTAAAATAATGATTTGTATCGTTTGGGGCGGAAATTTAATTTTTTTTTGCAACGGATATTAAGCCAATGCTCAGGCATGTGTGTGCATCCCCCCCTCCCCTGCGCGCTGCCCCACTGCGAGAGTCCTGTCTGCGTGTGGGAGGAGGCGAATGACCCCTGGAGTTGTGAAGTCTGGAAATCGACGCAGGAATCGAGGCGGCGATTGCATTAAATTTAATGAAATTAAGTCCATTCCATTAAATGAATGAGGCCAATTTATTTAATTGATGAACATCACTGATTTCTCCTCTTCTCTTTTTCCTCTTCGCCGTTTGGCAGGCATGTCCTTCCAGCGGAGCTACAGCAAGGTCTGGTGGGGATCCGACAGCCAGGAGCACTCTTCGCTGCCATCGCTCTCGTCTCTAACCAGCGGCGGGTTCTATTCGCAGTCCAGCAATAGCAACAGACAGCCCTCGTCCCTGCTGGGCAACCTGTCCTGCATCCAGGAGGTGGAGGACGAGCAGAACATCTCCAAGATATCGTCGTGGCACAAACAGGACAGTCCCGGCAGTCTGCGCAGTCAGGTGAGTGATTCGAAGGAAATTTAACCGAAGGGCATCGATCGAGTTATATAAAAATCGATTTATCGGCCCTCTAGCGATACTTCTTTCGATATCAATGCTTTCTCCATTATTCCCCATGCTAATATGGAACCTTTCTCATTCGAATGGATTCGCAGGATTCGGGATTCTCGGACAATGAGGAGTCCCACCAGCTGCTGCTGCAACAGCAACTGCAAAAGGAGACACAACATGAACAGCAAACGCCCACGGCTTCGCCCGGCTCCGTCCATTCCGTGGCCACGCCGCCCACTGTGGTCCGGAGGGTGGGAAACTCCTCCTTCTACTCGCCGTTGATCAGCGTTACGCGCCGCATTTCGTTCACCAGTGGACAGAGGACGCCCAAGGCGGCCACAGAGGCGGACGCCGACGTGGATGGGGAGCTGGAGGCCAGCCGCAGTCGCCTGTTTGATCAATTGGACAGCCTGAAGCTGGACGACGATGCAGAGGAGGAGAAACACACAGCCACCGAGTCGAGCACGCCGCCACGTCCGGCCATTCGGCGCCGCAGGCGGTTGGCTCGGAAGCCCAAGCCCGAGCCGGAAGAGCCTTCGGCCAGCGAGGACGAGGATGTAAAGGACCCGCTGCCGCCGTACAACAACGAGACCGTGTATCTGGGCGAGGCCCCGCCGCCGTACAACAATGAGACAGTTACCTTCGGTGGCAGCGGCGACCCGGAGGAGACTCTGCTCCCTGGCCTGCTCTCCCCCCTGCGCGTGCACCCCTCAGTGCGCTTCACGGCCAGCACGAGCACGCCCAAGACCAGAAGCAAGCAACCGAAGAAGGGGCACAGAGCTCAGACCACGCCAGTGGAGAGCTGGATGGCCGGTCAGCGCTGGAACGTGGACCAGGAGGTGATGTGCACCCTCCAGCACAAGTCCATCGCCCAGGAGGCGTACAAGAACTTCACCATCACCACCAGTGCCGTGTCAAAGCTGGTCCGTCAGCTGCAGCAGCAATCGCTGGCCCTGCAGGCGCACTTCGAGCGCAGCGAGCGTATGCTAGGTGGCCTGCAGGCCACCACCCTGCCGGAGGCTCTGACCGGAGCTGGACAGCTGTTGGGCCACCTCGACGACTTCGTTGGCACCCTGGAGCGGCGGGCCATCTTCTTCAACGAGACGCGGGTGGAGCGACGGCGCTACGAGCAGCATCTCGAGCAGATCCGCACGGTGAGCCGGGACGCGAGGTATTCGCTGGAGCGGCAGCACTACATCAGCCTGGAGTCGCTGCTGGAGGATGTACAGCTGCTGAAGCGGCACACCCTGATCACGCTGCGCCTGATCTTCGAGCGACTGGTGCGTGTCCTGGTGCTGAGCATCGAGCAGAGCCGCTGCGACCTCCTGCTGCGGGCCAACATCAACATGGTGGCCACCCTGATGGGCATCGACTACGACGGCTTCGCCTCGCTCTCGGACGCCTTCGTCCAGAACGAGGCCGTGCGCACCCTGCTCGTCATCGTGCTGGACCACAGGCAGAGCTCTGTGCGCGCCCTCGCCCTCCGTGCATTGGCCACTCTCTGCTGTGCGCCCCAGGCCATCAACCAACTCGGCGGCTGCGGCGGCATCGAGATCCTGCGCGATATCTTGCAGGTGGAGGCCGCTGGGGAGCGCGGCGCCATCGAGCGCCGCGAAGCAGTCTCTCTGCTGGCCCAAATCACGGCCGCCTGGCACGGACCCGAGCACCGGGTGCCCGGGTTAAGGGACTGCGCCGAGTCCCTCGTGGCCGGACTGGCGGACCTGCTCCAACCCGACTGCTGTGCCCAGACCCTGCTCCTGTGCGCTGCGGCCTTGAACAACCTGAGCCGCATGGAGGTCACCTCCCACTACTCCATCATGTCCAACGAGGCCATCTTCCGGCTGATAGCCACGCTGGAGCACCAGAGTTGCGGCATTAGTGTGTTCCTCTATGTAAGTAGCAAAACATTTTCCATTTCCCATTTCCCATTTTCCATTTGTCATTCGAGAGGAGGGGTCGGGGGGGACCACAAGTGGGCCGAGTCGGAGCCTGAGTGGGAGTTCGATTTGCTGCAGCCCTTGCCGATTTTTGAGCAATTTTATTGAAAGCTTCCTGGAGGAGGGCAGTCGGCTCGTAAAATTTATTTGTGCATTTGCAAAGCGATTTCTTTCCCAATCTTGGCCACGATTTTTCATCGCCGCCCTCCTCTCCATCTCCACCCCATTCTCACAGTCCATGCCCCGTACATTCTTGCTGTTTGAGTTGCTTACTTTTTGCTCATCAACATCTCTCTCGTCTTCTTTTTATATCGTTATACACAGGAGCAAATCGTTGGGATGCTGCACAACATGTCGCTGAACAAGAAGTGCCACAGCCACTTGGCCAACGGCACCATCATAAATTTCATCACGTCCGTTTACCAAACGGAATTCTACAAGACCTACGGATCACGTGCCGAATGCGATGCCCAGCGCCGCAGCATCAAGACCATTCTGCACACTCTGACGCGTCTGGCCCACGATTCGCCCACCCTGGGCGCCGAGCTCCTGGAGCAGTGGCATCTGCCCGATTTGCTGCGTCAATCTCTGGCCCTGCCCAAATCCTCTGCTTCCGCCTCCCCTGCTGCTGCTGCCGCCGCTTCTGATGGTCAGTTGGATGGCAGCTACGCGGGGGATATATCGCAATTGGCGCGACATTTGCTCAAGGCCCATCAGCAGGAGCAGCTGCTGTTGGTCAGCGGAGCCACAGCCACAGCCCCAGCCTCAACCTCAGCCACGGCCACAGGAACCTTCAGCAGTGGCCATCAGACGCCCGAGGCACAGACCAGTTCCAGCTCCAACTGCAGCGCAAACTCTACTTCCAATTCGGCTTCGAG